TGCAGTATCAGCTATATGACACTGGAACCTTACTAGAATCTCGGGAGAACAGTTTAGAACTGATCAATAACTTCAATAAGAGCAGTTCTTGTATAAATAAAGTTAGTTTAATTATCAATGACAATTCCTAATCTAATTTCTCTGTATGTAGGTTCTAGGAGCAATTTTGATCCTTGCTGGAACAATTTGTGGAATAATCTCCGTACCATCTCATGAACATTTCAAGTTTGTTCACAGTATCTTTGGGTATCTTCTGTTTGTCATGGTAGTTCAACAGCCTTTCAATGCAATGCTGTGAGTCTTTCGAAACCTCTTTAATCCTATCTTGTGCTATGTTTGCCTGTTGCTGGCTTTCAATGAGCCCTATCGTGCAGCAGATGGTTGCCAACTGCCAGTTAGCCGAAAATATCGTTAATTGGCAGCACTAGATAAATGAAATGGAGTGATAATATCCTTGTTCCTATGCATGAACATCACGGCGTCTTGAACGGTCTATGCCCGCGTATAAGTAGTGATAAGAACTAACATCGATCCTTTAATAGGAAATATGCAACGACCTGAATAATTTAAGCAGAACTTCGATATTTTGTGACCATTTCCGTCGGGAAATTAGTAGTCATGCAGCTATACATATACTACTCGCATCGTCTTAAGTTAGTAAGAACAGCAAATGCAACGTCAGGACACTTGCAATAAACTCAAACTATATCTCTCAATTCTATTTTTGCCTCCAAATACAAGACTACTACATAGAAGGCAGATAATTAGTATTCTCCCTCTGTGGTAACTGTCATTTGACATCTGTACCGTTTAACGAACCGAATATTAGTGGGGAAAAATGTTCAAAATATTTGTAACGATTTTAGGCGACCACAACCTACGGAACAAGGCTTTAATTGTGGCAGAGCGTTCTGGGAAGTTTGGCACAAGTGGTCAGGACGTCTGGTCTTACTTTGTGGAATAATTAACATCACCCTAGGTCTGTTTTTGGCTGTTGCTCCGTCCTTGGTGTGGATATTATGGTTGGCCTATGTCGGCTTGTGGGTAGTGATATTTATTGTGGCTGAAGTCGTCAAACGGCCGTTTGAGAAAGAGTTGCGAAGGCGGGCCAGGAAACCTATGGTTTATGATACAACAAATCCTTATCGTATTTCAAGAGGGCAAGTGAACACAGCATTTTGATGTAAGGCAGTTTTGTATATGTTGTTATTTTTTTAATATAATTTTCAGTTCTCATTCAACTTGAGATAATTTATGCACTGAGAGATGTTATATAGATAACTCACTTTTTTCCACACGCTTAATTTAAAGGGAAGATAAAGAAATTGCAACAGACCTGGAACATGCTGATATGAAACGTTGATTAATTTTTGGAAGAATAATGGACTAGCCACAACTTTCGTTATTGATGTCAAGGCTACAACTGAAATAAATATCATTTGAGTATTCAAAGTTCAAATAGTGTTTTATTCTCTTCCGAAGCTTTGGGTTTTGACACGTGACTATAAATTATCTTTTGCAGTCGTTTCTCTAACAAAGGTATTAGCAATTTTCATTTCCAACCTGACATACATAAATGACGAGTGGTTCTTTTGTCCCTCAATGCAGAGAACAGCATGCATGTACAATAATATTTTTAAAAAAAATAAAACCCCACATGAGACTGGACACACAAAACTGAATTGAATAATTTATTAACCATCTGAAGTTGACAACAATTGTTATGAAGTATTTTATATTAATATACTTGTTTATACTTATACTATATTAATATTTATTAACTATCTGAAGTTGACAACAGTAATGTTATGAAGTATTTTATATTAATATCCCTTTCTTCCTAAATATTTTCTCTGAGCATTTTGTGCGTTGATAATTTTATATTTTTGTCTCTGTCTCCCAAATGTTCTGACGTCCATCCTCTTCTATGAAACGCTTTCCAAATTTCCAAGGAATATTCTGGTTTTCGTCGTTGTTTTCTCGTTTGCCGCCACGATTCTGACTTTCGTCGTTGTTCCCTCGTTTGCGTCCTGAAATGTTCTGGCTTTCGTCGTTGTTTTCTCGTTTGCGTCCTGAAATATTCTGGCTTTCGTCGTTGTTTTCTCGTTTGCGTCCTGAAATATTCTGGCTTTCGTCGTTGTTTTCTCGTTTGCGTCCTGAAATCTTCTGGCTTTCGTCGTTGTTTTCCCGTTTGCCGCCACGACTCTGGCTTTCGTCGTTATTTTCTCGTTTGCGCTCTGCAATACTCTGGTGGCTTTCGTCGTTGTTTTCTCGTTTGCGTCCTGAAATACTCTGGCTTTCGTCGTTGTTCCCTCGTTTGCGTCCTGAAATGTTCTGGCTTTCGTCGTTGTTTTCTCGTTTGCGTCCTGAAATATTCTGGCTTTCGTCGTTGTTTTCTCGTTTGCGTCCTGAAATATTCTGGCTTTCGTCGTTGTTTTCTCGTTTGCGTCCTGAAATATTCTGGCTTTCGTCGTTATTTTCTCGTTTGCGTCCTGAAATATTCTGGCTTTCGTCGTTGTTTCCTCGTTTGCGTCCTGAAATATTCTGGCTTTCGTCGTTGTTTTCTCGTTTGCGTCCTGAAATATTCTGGCTTTCGTCGTTGTTTCCTCGTTTGCGTCCTGAAATATTCTGGCTTTCGTCGTCGTTTTCCCGTTTGCGTCCTATAATATTCTGGCTTTCGTCGTTGTTTTCTCGTTTGCGTCCTGAAATATTCTGGCTTTCGTCGTTGTTTCCTCGTTTGCGTCCTGAAATATTCTGGCTTTCGTCGTTGTTTCCTCGTTTGCGTCCTGAAATATTCTGGCTTTCGTCGTTGTTTCCTCGTTTGCGTCCTGAAATATTCTGGCTTTCGTCGTTGTTTCCTCGTTTGCGTCCTGAAATATTCTGGCTTTCGTCGTTGTTTTCTCGTTTGCGTCCTGAAATATTCTGGCTTTCGTCGTTGTTTCCTCGTTTGCGTCCTGAAATATTCTGGCTTTCGTCGTTGTTTTCTCGTTTGTTCCCAAGATTCTGGTTCTCTGATTCTTTATTACCATAATCTACATTTTCAATATCGACTTCGCGTTTCCAAGGATTCTGAATTTCGATCTCTAAATTGGCTCTCTTTCCTCTGCGCCAGCTTTCTATAACTTCACCATGCCCTTTTCGTTGCTTGAAATCTTTAAAGAGACAAGGTTAGGAAGATGAATGCACAACCTATTCTTGACAAAAAGCCGAAAATCGCAATTGACAATGACAAAATTGTGTCAGCATTGTGCACTTTTGTAAATACTTCACAACGTCCGAAATGTGCAAAAGACAACCTGTCTTAATCAATTCATTGTATTACCTGCGTTAGCTCCGCATTGAAAAGCAGTAAATGCAACGAGCACCACTAAGAACAACATAAGGTTTTCAGCGTTCATCATCTTCTTTTGAAACGGCTCCTCTTGGTTACAATATCCCAACTACAACTCGGCGAGCTGCCGTTTAAATAACAAGTCAATCACGTGCCACTTAATTAACGCATTAACAGTTTATATTTTGTGATGCCTAATTAGTGTTTTAGTAGCTTATCTAATCAGTTTAAGAGATATATTAACATACATTAGTTTCTTGTTGACGTTATCTATATATTATGTAAATGTAATGACGTTAGGCATCGACAATATGTTTCCAGATTGACTTTAAATTATATTCAGCAAACGAGCAAAAAAAAATTGAGTATCTGACTGAAAAATCAAACTCGTCCCCAGGATCGCCTAGGTATGGCGCTTCATGGGAACGAGGTTGCTGAAAAATTCACATTTTATACATCACTCTCATTTTATATCACTGCGCTGAAATCAGCACTTCAACCTTTCAAATTCCACATGTGAAATAATAGTTTAACAAGCTATATTGATTTTCCACATAAACATTTTCGATTCGGTGAAAGATGAAATGAAATATATATCTCAGACGTAAAATGTGCACTTTTTCACCTCAAATGTTCACATTCCACAAATGACTTGTAATTTTGGGCCTTACCAACATCTTACGGATAAAAATTCCTAATTATCACCTAGTTGTTTCCACAAACACAGGGACGTCGTGAAGACATCAACATTGGGGGGGGGGGGTTGTATTGTCATGCTTTGACCAACTTATCCTAGAATTTTGACCAAGTAGTAGAAATGTTTCCCGAAAATGTTGTCGACGGGGGGAGTGTTATAAAAATTTTCCACACCAACATAAGCGCAGAGATTCAAATATTTTCGACCAAAGTAAGCAAGGCTTGCAATTGTTTCAGCGCAAACATAACCAAAGCTTAGACCGATTGTTACAATTTTTATCTCAAACTTTGAACAAATTTTACAAACTTTGACCTTCAATTTTAAGCAAATATTAGTTCAATTTCGACCAACTTTGACCAACGTTTTCAATTATTGTGGGGGGGGGTTACACCCCCC